CACGTGTGCTTCCTGCGTGGCGCGCTGCTGCGTGACGTGTGCGGTGTTGATGGTGGCGTAGCGTGCACAAAAAGAACGTAGCGGCATGAAAAAACGTGGGAAAAGATGGTGTAGAGCGTTGTAGGAGTGTAGATAGATGCAGATAAGACACTCACTAGTCTTGCCACAAAGGCCTCACGCGTGAGATTAGGTTGTCACGTGGGGGGTATATGATGTCTGTGGGGGGAGGGTCGGACGTGAATGCGTCAAGATATACTTACGTGATTCTGTTGATTTTTCAAGCGTTTTTGGTCTCCGTAAGCAGGCATAACCTTCATCGAGCGTTCGCGGTGGGTGTAGAAGACGGCGTAACGTCAGCACTCCTTGCGTTGTCTGCGTTCGGTACGGGGATGTGATCGGAGTGGATCTGTTGTCGTGTGCTGCAGGAGTTTGGTGTTGGCGGGCTATACGCGAATGCTTGATTCGCACGCACTCGTGCTTCGACCGATTTCGAGCCTTTTCCAGCCAGGGTTTGTTGTTGTACAATAAATAGGCACGTGTGTGTATTTTGATGTCGTGTCGTTTTCGAGCGTCTTTTCTTTTTGATCATCACAGACGACTACAATGGGTTCGAGTGCGTTGTGTGTTTTGTGTGGTCGCGCATGGTGTACTGTGATTGCTTTTTGTTGTTGTAGGTGTTCTCATGATGGAAAGAAGTCGGTTCCAACACACCGACAGGGGTAGAGCGGGACAGTTTGACCATGCTTCGGAGTTCCGATCGACCGTTGGAGTTCCATATGTGGCGTGCGCCAAAACCGTGCGCCGAATACGTTGATGCGCTATCGCCCTTTGCTGGAGATAATTTCTCCATTGCAGCGGTAGCCATCTTCTGTGACCGTATTGGGAGGTGATGCACTGATGGCGCGCAGAAACTTTTTCCAGATCAGAGCGTTTGTTGGCCTTGACCTTTGGCCACTGGGTTTTTCCAGCGTGTAGTCAGAACCACAAACGCGTTGATTTGGGGTACATGCTGCCCCCCCCTGCTTTCCATTTATTTTTTGCTTTGATGTCGGCATCGGGGCGAACTGATCCTGTGCTTCCAGATCAGACTTTGCGATCGGCCTTGACCTTTTTGTCAGATGTGTTTTCCTCGTGTGCAGTCAGAGCCATGATCTG